CTTGGAGGGTTGGCATGCGGGAAATCACGCGAGGTGGACGCGTCCATCAAAGTGTGATTTATTTTGCATGCCACGTTTGCTGAAATTGCCTTTATTATTTCAGCTTTGATTTTATCGGACAAAGGTATTTCCTTTATCCTTTTATGTTTCCTCTGAGAAGCGATTTCGCTTAAGATTGGTTTTGCGGTCATGTTCATTTGTCGTTGTTGACTTGGAACATGGATGGTACCGCGCCAAATTTCTGACTTGGGCCGGAGACCTAACGGGGACCGTGCAGATGCTCGGTCGTAGGGGCGGGCCGCCATGGAGTTAGAAAGTGTCGAAAATCTGGCTGATGTGAGCCAGGATGAGAGCGAGTCAGCTATCGTGCCGGGACCCGTTGGATGGGAGTCCTTGCCTGCAGTGCTCAGACGCAAGCTTTCGCAGTCAGGGCAGCCGATTTCGGATGCATTGCTCTGGGACATGTTCTTATCGGAAGACGAAGTAAGGGACTTCATTGAATCTGTGGGCTTCGCTGCTGGACCTGTGGAGTGGTTTCATCACGGCGAAACTCTTGTTGATTTGTGGAAGGCTTCAGAACATAAGGCTTCGCTGGCCGTCCGTAGGACGACTACCCTGCTGGGAGCTCATTGTGCTGCATCTTCAGGGCTTCAGGTACAAGTGCAGGCTGCTGTTTCGCTTTCGCATGAGTCCTTGCAATCTTCTGCTGCGGTCAAGAGACAACTTCATTGGCCGTGCCGCTTAGCCAAGAGGCGGGCTTTGGCCAAGAATGAGGGCGGCAGGGCACAGGCTGAAGCAGAAGAGCTTCAGAGATGGAGGACCAAGCTGGCTGAGGTGCTGCGGCAAGCAACTTTCCTATTTGCGCTCAGGCATTGTACATGACCAATACGGATCGTATTTTGGAGACTGCAGCAGGCAACACCAGGGCCTCAACACTACGGCAGAGGATCAGGGAGTGGACACGCGTTTCTGCTTGGTTCTTTGCTGCGAGAGGGGTGTACTATGATGCTGAGATCACTGAGTTTCATATGATCCCAAGTCGCATACTTGTTTAAGGATACTTCATCCATATGTCGACGCAAAATCCCATCAATGCGATAGGGCAACGTAAGATGCGTGTCCGCAATATGGTACCATTCTTCCATTACTGCAGCCAAGTAGACATTGAACAGCAGAGGAGCCAGACAACAGCCTTGTCCCAAACCAGTACGTAGTTCGAATTCCGCCGTGAGTTCACCCTCCGCGCTGACCCGTGCAGTTTTGCCCGTATAGACGTCCCTTATAAGGTCAAGCATGGTATCCGGTACTCCTTTAGCGCGCAAAATGCCCCAAAGCCCATTTCGATTAACGGAATCATACGCTTTCATAAGATCCACAAATACCACATGTAGGTCAGTCTTTTTAACTCTTGCCAGTTCAAGTGCCATCCGTAACGTAAAAATCATATCCACCGTGCCCCGTCCCGCACGAAATCCACACTGAGTCTCCGGTAAAATTCCTTTACTTTCAATATGCGCCACCAAACGTCCGTTGATTATTTTGGCATAAACCTTGCCTGGTACCGAAGTCAACAAAATGCCCCGCCATTTTTTGCAGTACGTTAAATCTCCCTTTTTGGGCAGCGGGATTAGATACGACTCCTTCCATTCCTTAGGCATAGGTTTCGCCCCAGTCCAGATTTGACATATAATTTCATGTAGTGTTCTTTTTAATGCCGGACTCAGAACATCCAATAACTCAGCTGGTATTCCATCCGGACCATGCGCCTTCCCCTTATTTAGCGTAGAAATTGCCGCAATCGTTTCAGCAAAAGTTGGAGGTTGACCAAGTTCTTTACATTTTTCCACCCGAGCTATTAGACCGATTCTGTCCTCAGACACTTCAGTCTCAACATTCAGCAACTCTTCAAAGTA